ACATTACTAGAGAGACCTGATGTGTATGTGTCACCCCGGATACCGTGAATGCAAGACTACAGGAGGATCAGCTTTGCAAATGTGACTGTTGTGTTACTCCATTGACAAAGAACATGGAGTGAGTAGTGAAAAACAACAGTGGGCCTCTCTCCTCAAGCCATTCTGTGGGAGAAGAGGTAAGCGGCCAGTGGAATTAAGAAATTGTTCCCTAAAATGTTTCAGGTGTTCCCTACCCCTAGGAATTAAGTAAAATCATCAAATTGGTAAAAAGTTTTCAAGTTTAGCTGTTCAGTCTTGAAGAACCACCATCAGGGTAAAGAGTCCTTAAAATCACCTAGCCAAACTATCAGTGTAAACTTTTTAGAAGTCAGAGAAATAATCGGAGGCGTGTAATTCTTCCATATGCGGTAGCTCCAGAATGCTGAGTATGTCCCACTTCTTTTTTTTTTTTTTCTTTCTTTTGCCTTCCTGCACTGATCTGTTGTGAAGACTGGGGAAGTACAATTTCCAAAAGGGTTCTTTTCTCTATTACGAAGTTGAGCCCACACAAACCCTATATATGGTAATGATCCATATTTGGCTCTATAACAAACCCAAATGAAGAGGACTATCATGCATTTCAAAATCTGAGTTGAAAACCATAAACAAAAATCAGAAATGGCTATAGTCCTCTCATCTAGTAAAAATGCAAGCTCTGACCAAGCTGACTGATCTCATTTTCTCCCCTTCTTAAGCATAATTTTCCTGTCTGTTACTTGAACATATTCCCAACACTATAGCTAGCTGACACTATACTGGTGGGGGGGGGGGCACTCTATCTCACAAACCGAGGGATGCTGAAATGAGAGGGGATGGGGGTAGTAGTGGCCCTGGATAAAAGATAGTCTGATATTAAAGATTCTTTGCTTAAGGCACAAATGCACCTGGGTGTGACTTTTTTAATGGTACATTTCCATGGCAAGTAGCATCATCTTTGATGAAAGAGTGTGGCAAGAGGCCTTGTTATGACTCCCCATGGGGACTGTGACAACACATTAACAGGGAAAGAGGCAATATAAGGGGGCAAGCAAGGGTGAACCTTGTTATTTTAGGAATTCAAAACAATGAAGCCAACCTTCTGACGCTGGCATCATCAGACCTCAGGCATGGGCCAGGAGTTTAAGGAGCTGGGGCGGGGACCGATAGACAGAGTTAGAAGGGAATGAGGACACAAGCCTCTAGGTTTATTTCTATCTGACTCTCTTGTAACTTCAGAAAAAGTCCTTTGCTTAATTTCCTATATCTTCACCCTAGGTGCTTCTTTTCCACAGGGCCCCTAGGGAAATAATAGATACAGGTAGTGAAATGGCATCAGGAGAGACGTTGCATACCTGACCTCTCCTGAAATGTTTACAGAGATTCAAGTTTGCTGAAGGGGCTGGGGAGGATCTTCTCACTCCTTCTCTTAGTGAAACCTTCCTTTAAGACCAATCCTTCAAGATCAAAGTCAACTCCGTTGAGAAGTCCCATCTTGAGCAGTTTTTCATATGCTTGTTTGCCATTTGCATTTCTTCTTTGGTAAAGTGTCCAGTAAGCCCTTCTGCCCATTTTTTTTGGATGGTTGCCCAAGGATTTTTGTGTTTGTGTTCATTAGAGAGACTGGCCTATAATTTTCTTTTTGGTGCATTGTCTTTGTTTTCAGTATTATTATCATGTTGGCCTCCTAAAATGTATCTGGTAGTTTTCCTTTCTCAGTTTTTGAAAGAGTTTGAGCAGGATGGGTTAGTTCATCTTTCAAAGTTTGGTAGAACTTACAAAATCATCTGGTCCTGGTCTTTTGTTTTTTGTGGAAGAGTTTTGATTGTTGTTTCTTTGCTTGTAACTGGTTTGTTGAAGTTTTCTATTTCTTCCTTATTTAGTCTTGAGTAATTGTTATATAATTCTAAGAACATGTCCATTAAGTCCAATTTGAACTTGATTGCATACAAATGTTCATAGTAACCTCTTATTATCCTTTGGATTTTTGCTGTATCTGTTGTAATTGCTCCTTGTTCACTAATGGTCCTGATTATTTGAGTTTTCTCCCTTTTTTTCATTGTATGCCTATGTAGGAATTTATGTATTCTGCTTATTTTTTCAAAGAATCAACTTTTGGTTTCACTGATCTTTTGGACTGTCTTTTTGACTTACATTTCATTTATTTCTGCTTTAATTTTAATGATTTCCTTCCTCTATCAATACTTGCTTTTGGGGTTTTTATACTTTTTCTAGTTCTTTGAGATGAGAGAGTATGCGGTTTTTTTGGGTTCTTTCTTGCTTCTTGATGTGGGCCTGTATTGTTATATATTTTGATGAGTGTAATTAGACTGCAATTTACTTCCTATAATGATATTTCCTTCTCCTGCTGATTTAATACCTGCTCTTCACCATCCATTTTAGAACACAGAAATCATTCTATTTGGTTCCCATCTACTCTCCACTTCACCAGATGACTCAACAAATCCCTTCTGACATTCAGCTGACACTCAGACTGACAGTTTTTCACACAGTGCTCTATAGCTTAATTGTCTTTAACCTTACAAATCCAGTGAGTTTATTTTCTTCAGCCTTCTAGAGACCATCTAATAGTTTGACTCCAGGATAAATGAACATGATCAATAAGCCCCCAAATATGCCAATGGAAATCTCCCCCACCCCGCAATACAACTATGAATCTCTTTTTATAATCTTTGCATTCTTAGCACCAGCAAAATACTGGCAGACATGTATTTCAGTGTGCACTAGAATATGTTCTATGTATTGGGCATCTACCTACGTCTCTTTGTGTGTGTATGTGTGTGTCCTCCTTCCTCCTGTAACTGATGTTGCTCTCTTTTGTGTTTGCCCCTCTAGAGCCTGTATTCCTCAAAGCACCTAGGGGTCCCTTGATAATGTAATTCAGAGCCTTATTATGGCTACAGGACTACACATGGTGTGACCCCTGGCTACTCTGAGTGTGGCTATTTTCCATCACTAACTCTGCTCTAGTCATTCTCATATATCTGCTTTACTTAAATGTGCCAAACAACTCCATCAGTGCTGTTATTTGCTGGCTCTTTCCTTTCACATCTTCCAAGTTTCTGCTCAAAGTTATCTTACCAGAAAGCACTACTCTACTTTTCTCCATAGGACTTATGACTACTGGATAGATTATATATTTAATTAACCTTCTGTTTTCCTTCTCACACCTCAACCCTCACCAAATACAACTCCAGAAGAGTGAAGAATAGAAGGTCTTTTCTTTACAATATCCTTATTGCCTATCTAGTAGGCATACTGGGAGTTTCAGAAATACATGTGGAAGGAATGAATGATGAATATACTATGTGCTTATAACCTGAAACCTGTTAGTTATGCACTCTCACAGTACTGCTAAGCTTCTGCACATCATGCCATGCTGAGCTATACCATTGTCCAAGTCACAGCCCTAGAGTAACTGCAGGAAGGTGAAAAAAGACAACAGTAGACAGCTCAGAATCACAGATTGTTAAAAGTCTGGAAAGGAGCTTAGATATCACTATTTCATAGATGAAGAAACTGAGGCTCCATGAAGGGTTGTGACTCACACAGAACCACTAAGAAAGTTAGTAGCAAAATTACATTAGTAGCACCATTTTGGTCTTTCATTTCCAATCCAGGATTCTTATTTCTATATTTGGAAATACTTCAATATTTATATATGTTATACAATATATCTAGCTATTTATTACATACATCCGCTGACAATGTCTTACAATAGGACTACAACAGCAAGGCCTGAGCCCCACAAAGCAAAAGCATTCCTTTCTCCTAAAACAGGCCAACTGAACAAGCCCTTCAGGATTCTACTGAAGCCTCAGTTCTGAGGATCTGTCCACCATTATTGCTATGCATCTCAGCAGATGCATATAAATCCTATTTCTTCCTACGTACCTTTTTATGAAGGAGCAAAATATTATGGTTTAATATACATCAAATGCTTTATTTTTTGCCTTCTTCCCATAGTACAGTTGGATTGAGTCTGAACAAATTCAACTGCATTCATGCATTACAAAAATCAGAGAAAAAATATCGGACCCAAAAAAGGTGATTAAATTGTGATTACAACTCTGGAAAGGAGCTTAGATATCACTATTTCATAGACAAAGAAACTGAGGCTCCATGAAGGGTTGTTTATTTAAACAATCCTTATTTAAAAAAATCCTTTCTACTTTTTTTTTTTAAAGTTATCATTTATCTGAATTGAAGTATGTGAGAAATGATTCCTGAAGCACTGGTGAATGTCCAGATTGGCCACTACTTGTAAACTTAACTTGAACCAGATGCCCTTCAAATTTAAATCATATGTGTTTCCTTACAGAGGATTGTCACTATGTGGGAAACTTAATATGGAGCTCTAAAGGGGCTACATGCAGCACACTAAGATAAAGTCCATTCTAAATACAGCTATAAAGAGAAAAGACATTCAAATTGTGCTAGATACATATCATACCTTATCCTCCCCCAGGTCCTATCTTGGCCACCAAGACTACATGGGAACATGGTGGCTCTTTTCTTTCTAAACATGTAGAATGTATACCTCCACCTGAGCAGGGTTGTACTCTTTAAAGTAATCACCACTGGAAGTTTTACAGTTAAAGGTTATTATCCCTAGGAATCTTTCTGGAATATCCTTAGAACATAGGTTTCCCAGACTCAGTGTGTATAGGATGACCCTGGAACAGGTTAATACTGCAGGTTCTTAAGAGTTTTGAATTTAATTGGCGTTGGATGGAATCTGGAAACCTGTATTTTAAGAGGTATTCCAGGTAAGTTTTATACAGGTGATCTGTGAGAAAAGCACAGTTTGTTCATACGGATATCAAAATCAGGGACTTTAAACTGTATACATATACAAAGATCACACCAGGGGTTTATTTTTGCTTTTAAAATCTTCATTCTTCCTAATGGAACATACTAGTACAGACATGCATAGAAGAATTCATTTGCAAACAACAACATACCTCCATGAAAGAGATTCCTAAGCTCCAGACATCAGAATGGATTCCATATTGCTCCCCTGAAATTCTTTCAGGCTGTAAAAAAACAGAAGGGAGCTTGTGAGTGGTGTAAGCTACTTGAGGAAATATATATACTGACATGAGCTCAGCTAAGGTAGGTAACCTTGACTACTTTGCACAGCACTTTATGAATAGCAATTTTATAGACCTATATTAATGTATATGTGTGTATTATATAAGTAACAGATCTACCCATATATATCCATCCATATATAAATATATATAAACTTACTGAATCTTTACAAAGTCCTTGCAAGGAAAACTAATTTATTATCCCTATTTTACAGATGAAGAAAATGGAGGCTCAGGGTAGTGAGTAGTGAAATGATTTAGGCAAGCCCTAAATCAGTAAATGAGTTGAAACTTGAATTCAGATCCTTGCCCTCCAAATCCAGTGGTCTTGGTTGGGGAACAACAAATTACAAAACATTATATAATAGTACAACTGATTTGAATTTTGATAGACGGGACTGAATGAACAAGATTTATTTCCCGTTTTTAAACTTTTTACTTTCAATTTTATAGTAAAGTTGAAAGACCAAGAATGGTACAAAGAATGTCCATAATTTCCTTGCCCAGATTAATCTACTCTGGGCATTTTCTCCCAACTCATAAGGGATTCTTTTTTTTTTTTTAATATGAACTAATAACAAATAGCCTGAAGGTCTATTTCAGACTGCTGGTCCTCTACTTAAGATAGGTAGCAACTATCTGGTCTAGAGCAGCATTAATACACTCTGTGTACTTCAGCAGGAATCAATTCATACTTACATGGGTGTTGCCTGGTTGTTTTTTTTTATTTTTTTTTTATTTTTATTATTTTTTTTAAAAGATTTATTTTATTTGTACATACAGAACTGGGGTACAGGCCAGAGGCTC